TTTGCAACCTTGCACTGCCCTCCCCCACTGGCCTGGTCTTGGTAATTGATTGCATAATAGATAATTGTTAAGAGCTACTCAGGGTTATTTTTCCAATAGAGCTACCTTTTTACATCATCTTCTCAATGTGTCTCTTCTAGGAGCTCTGTGTGTCGCATGAGCAGCAAGGAGAAGATCTCTGTTCAGGACCAATCAAAGGAACGTAAGACCTTGGGGACCATTGCTGTTGGCGAGGAGGAGACCAGTTCAGCCTCAGAGGGAGAGGAAACTCCTGATTCCAATGGTGAACAGAGCTATACAGTGGGCAGTGGCCTTTATTGGTTCCAAACTGGAAAGTGGTCAACAGATGGTAATTGCTTCCTGTCCCCTACAGAGGTGAAGACCACTCCTGCAACAGATAGCGGTGCAGTGAATGGCGTCTCCGTGACCCCCGTCACTCCTCGGTCCCCCAGTCCCACAGTGCAAAAGGTAAGACTTTACTTATCCACTCTAGCCCTATTCCTTGGTTGTGTGGAGGTGCAGATGAAAAGCAGGTGGTAGCACAGGTCTCTACCTCTCATACCAGTTCCCTTTCACAGGATAAGTTTGAGTGGAACAGCTACAGCTACTGGCCTCCTGTTGAAATGCAGCCTCTGCATATTCTCTCAGATCAACCTTTGTCAGAATTTGAGAGTAGAGGCAAAAAGCCTTTCATCATTTTTAAGGAATGGTCCCAGACATGTTTTTCATTCCCATTCATGTGGCTAAAGGTGCTGCTCTTGCATATCTAGATTTTCCCTGCCATCTCATGATACTGGGGTATGTTATACATGCACTGTGGAATGAGATGGTACAATGGGCTACACTGTTTTAGACTGTATGTGGAGGAATTACATTTTAAACTGCTCTCTGCAAAACTCCCTACAAGTAGAAAACTAGCCCAGTAGGAATCGGGCAAGGCTAACTTTTAGCTCAGTGTGGTGCTAGTTCTTCAGTTTACATGGATTTTTTAAAAATGTGAACATGCATTTATAAACTGTATTCCCAACTGTACTCTGAAGTGGTGCAATCCATCCAACCATCTGAACATGCCACTATCTAATTCCCATTCCTTACTGTTGCATGGCCAAGCCAGGCCTAAATATCTGACCTCAGTTTGTCAGTTGCAGTCAATCCCAACTCTAGCTAATTAGCAGAGGGTTCTCTTGGGAGGAAGGGGAATGGAGACTGGTACATTTGGAACTGAATCAAATATGTGTTCTGGGAGCCAGGACTTCTGGTTTCTTTAGAAGTGGTAAAGGAAAGGCATGAAATATTGTTCCTAGATGATCACTTAAGGAGCAGCTTCATTTGAGAGGTGTCTTTTCTTTCTCCTCCTTCTCTCCACCAGCTTTTCACAGATCCTTGCACAAACCTTCCTCTTTGCCACACAACACTTGCTGATTTCTTCTTTATAACTTGTCAGTTCTTAACACACCCAGTACTTTCATCTTGCATGCTTGATTAACCAGTTGTTGCTCCCAGCTGTCCTGGGTGGGGCCTGGTTGACCTTTCTCCTTTTTGGGTTGCTGACATAAGTGAGTCTGGAGATGACACAGAGTGCAGAGGCCTCTCGAAACTGGCTGAGGTGATCGCACTGACTGGGCCTTAATCACACACCTTCTCTAACTCCATCTCAATGCCTGACTGGCCATCCTTTCCACTGCATGTCATTTCTGTTGTATGAAATACTTTGGACTTCTGTTTTGTTTCTGTCTTTTCCCCTCCTTTTTTTCACATTTCCACCTGTGCCTTTCATCGATTACCAATTTCACCTCCTCCTTCTCCTCCTCCTTACTTTCTCTTTCAAACCACCCATCCCACCACAGCCGCAGTTTGCCTTCATCACCCCTGTACTGCCCATACCCAGCCCCCTGGGGCCTTCCATGTGGAGACAAAGCTTACGCAAAACAGGAATCATTCTGGTGCCCCAGAGGGGACAAAAAGCTACTGTGAGTTTCTCATGCAGATATGAAAAAGGGAGAAAGAATATGTGCTTGTAGGTGTGCATTTGTTTATAACCTCCCTCCCCGCCACCCATTAAATGGCCTAGTGAGACCAAGAGCCTAAAAACTTTTTTGTCTGAAACATATTACTTGGTTACTGGGTGGGTTGCTTTGCGTTTAGAACAAACCTAAAATCTACAGATGGGCGGTACCTTTAAGACCAGCTAAAATTTCCCAAATATTTGTAGGATTTTCAGCGCAACAGAACTCTTGGGTGGTTTGGAAAAGTAGGTAGGATGAGGGGGGAGAAGAAGCATGAAAATCTTAATCTGGTTAGACACTCCATCTATGAGATCTGCAATTAAACCCAGTCCCAAGATGAAGATTGTAGTCCCTTGTATGTGTGCAGGTAGCAGATCACACCTAATGATGCCACTACAGGATGGCGAGTAAATGGTAAGACTCCATCTCTGAATACACCAAGCTGGCTGCAATTCAGAAATTTGCTTTTTGACTTAGATGAAATACACATTGGCCTTAAGTAAATAAAGTTTAAGATTATATTTTAGCATTTTATATTTTAGAAGGGAAGTGGGAAGAGAAGGAAGGATGAGGTAGGGAAGGGGAAGGAAGGGAAAGAGAAGGAAAGGAAAGGAAAGGGAAGGAGGGAAAGGGAAAGAGAGTAGAGTGAGAGATAGGGATAGGAAGATTAGGGGGATGGGGGGAGGATTTGGAATGGGTGGAAGAAAGGTACGAATGGAGAGTTGAAAAAAGAATGGAAGGAACAAAAAAAAATATAATTTGGCAGATTGAAAATCTAGGGGATCATACATTTGGGGGATATTGATTTTTATTTGGGTATTTGATAAGGGTTTTGTGTGTTATGTGTGTTGTAACATGTGATATATTGTATGTTGTACGCTTGTATATAAAAAAAAAAAGATTATATTTTAGATTGTGCAGCCAGCTTGGAGTCTCCCCTAAGTGGTCAAATATCAACAGTAGAGCAATTTTCATTTTGGGACTGAGCTTGCAATTATCTGGCTGTTGTGACTATTTTTAATTTTTTAAAATTGGATGTTCTAGAACTATTTTTAAAGAGAAGTTTTAGGGCCTTTGCAGACTGCCAGAAATAGTGCAAATTGAGTCCACTTTAACTGTCCTGACTCAGTGCCAGGGAATCATGTGAACTGTAGTTTGTTGTGGCACCAGAGCTCTCTGACAGAGAAGGCTGAATGTCTCAGGAAAAAAATACAATTCCCATGATTCCCAAACACTGAGCCAAGGCAGTTAAAGTGGACTCAATTTGCACTATTTCTAGCAGTCTGCATAGGCCCTTAGTTTGTTTTAAATTGTTTTCATTCATGTTCTAATATTTTGAATGTTTTCATTCATTGCACTTCATCTTAGGAGGCCTGGCAAAAGGCCATAAATAAATACTTTAAATACATAAATAATAATAAATGGATTTTATGGCTGAAACACTTAGACAAATTTTCCATGCTTCTTCCATACCACCACCCTAAACTACTTTTTCAAACCACTTGAGGAGTCTTAAGAAATCTGAAAGCTTGGACTACTTTTGTGGAATTCAAATTGGCCCTTAAAAAGATAATGCCTGAATATCCTTATTCAGTTTTTCTTTTGTTCTCATGAACCAGTACAATTACCTTCATTTTGTACTTTTGACTGTCCTCAACCTAGTGTCTTCCAGGTGATGTATTTGACTTATTATCACATCTTCTGGCAGCCTTCCAAATGATGCAGTGATCCCTAAGCTGTGCCCTTTAAGGGGTTTTGGACTTCAGCTCCCAGAATCCCAGACTATTGGCTAACATGGCTGAAACTTCTGGGAGCTGAAGTCCAAAATCCCTTAAAGGGCACAGTTTGGGAATCACTGTGACTATAGCTTCCAGGGGTCATGCTGACTGCTGATGGGAGTTGTAGTGCAACACATTGTGTCTGGAAGGCACCCAGGTAAGGAAGGCTGATTTGTCAAGCTGACTAGTCTGACCCTGCCCACTCACCCAACCCAATCTACTTCTCTGAGCTGGCCACCTTTCTGATGTTGGCAACAACCTCTGACACCTTCAGTCCTAGCTGCTATATTTACAGATGATTATAACAAAGTTTCTGTTTGGCTACTGGGTAAAACTGGATGCTGTAGCAGATGGGCAGTGATTCTGATTCTGCAGAGCCACCAATGTTCTGTGGTTCCCCATTAGTGTAGTCATGGCATATTCTGTGGTTTGGTTTGGTTTTGAGATTTTCAATGCATTTGAGAGCACTGGCATTTGGGCAGAAGAATAGATTTATTTAACTGCTTATGGCTTAAAGTAGAGATGAGTCTTTGTCCCTCTAAATCTTTTGGACTTCAGTTCCCACAATCTCAAACCATTGACTGTGCTGGTTGAAACTGATGGAAATTGTAGCCGAAAACATCTGGAGGGACCCTAACCTGACCTTAAGGCTGCCAGATTAAAGAACAAGAATCTAATGGGCTTTTGCAAGGGATTGTTGAGATTCTAAATTATTGGATTCTCTGGTGTGATTATTACATTTGTTTTACACACACACACATATACAGACACACACCTCGCTTTTTTCCTAGCCTTGGGACTCCAGGAAGCTTACACAGTTAAAACAAGTACAGATAAAATTCCACATGATTAAAACATAAAGCAATGAAAATAGAATTAAACTATAAATAGAATTAAAGGCAATTAAAAATGGCTGCCTCAGGCCCCAGAGTTCCCTTCCTAGTGAGGCCAGGATGGCCCCCTTCTTGCTGTCCTTCTATTGGTAAGCAAAGCTTTTTTTTTTTGTTGCAACAGGCTTTTGAGAACAGGCTGTTGTTAAAGAAAAGGCTTTTAAGAGCACGTTGTACAGTTTTAATTGTTTTTTGTTGCTGTGTGCCTCCAAGTCTTTTTCGACTTATGGCAACCCTTGATAAGATTTGTTAATAGGAGGTTTGCCTTTGCCATCCTCTGAGGTGGAGAGACTGTGACTTGCTCAAGGTCACCCAGTGGGTTTCCGTGGCAGATCAGGGATTCAAACCCCGGTCTCTAGAGTCATAATGCAATACACAAACCACTACCCCACACTGACTCTAGTTTTAATTGTACTGTTTGTAAACACCTTTCTAACGTGTTAATTGCATTTTTAAGCTGTTTTTGGTGTTGTTAATAATTTAATTCCATTTTTATGCTGCATTTTTGTAAATGTTTTAACTATATTGTACTTGTTTTAAGAAGTAAACCACCTTGAGTCCCAGTTTTTGAGGAAATGGGAATAAATAAAGAGGAGGATGAGGATGCAGGGAGTACTTGGAATCTCAGTAAAGTAAATGGTAGAGCTGGGTTTTGTTTGTAGCTCTTTGTGCATTTGTAAGCATCTTACAGAGGAGCAGGCTGACCAAAGCAATAGCTTCCTGTGAAGGATGTGCTGTAGGATGGGTTACTGAGAGGGCTTTCTAGATGAACATCTTTGGCTGGGGAAACTGACACAAACCTCTTGAAGCTGTGCAGCTTCCTGTGATGAGAAGCTTCCAGTTTTGAAGAGGCAGCTTTTCAGGCCCTGGTTACCTGGCATGACCTCCGCTTTGACAGCATTCTGGAATGCTGCTGCTAAGATGCTCAATATAAATCTCAACAGTTCTGCATAATGCTGCTTTGCTTTGGAATGTCAAGTTGGCAAGGAGGAGAGGGAAGGGAAGAGGTGGGAGGAGAGCGTCCTTGTCTTGAAGAAGCACTGGACCAGAGAGAGATGGAAGGCTGAACTCCAACACCATTGCAACCCTGCTATGGTGGCGCAGTGGTTAAATGCCTGTACTGCAGCCACTCACTCATAGACCACAAGGTTGCGAGTTCAGTACTAGCCAGGGCTCAGGCTAGACTCAGGCCTGCATCTTTCTGAGGTCGCTAAAATGAGTACCCAGCTGTTGGGGGGCAATGAGCTTACAGTTGTAAACCGCTTAGACATCCCATAGTGTGATATGAAGCAGTATATAAATGAAGCTGCTTTGCTTTGCTTGCTTTGCTATTTACAATCCTTACTTTTCTCCATGGCTGTACTTTTACCTTCGGTATAAAAGAGATTCTAAACTGGTGCAACTTGGGAATCCCAGGTTTCCTTCTAATTTGTGTTGTAAATGTATGGTTATGCAGGAGAGAAAGGTTCTCCAACCCTTACCCTATAAAAATCTATAAAAATCTTCCCAAGTAGAATGTAGAAAGCTGTCTTGAAAGTGGCTTCAGTAAAAGTTCTTTTCACTTGAGACAGAATTCAGCTCTGGAACATAATTTTGCGCCTGTTTGAGCCTGTAACATGTGAAGAAGCAGTCAACTGCCTCTGAGAATATACAGAGTAATCTGTGACAACCACTAAATGGTTGGGATGTAGCTTTTGGGCAGATTGAATTCAGATAATTATAACTTCACATGCTGCAACTTTCATTTTAGGAAAATTAGTATTGCTACAGAAAGTAGAAACTGGGATCCCTGTCTCCATACAGACAGCTCTTGAAGGTGTAGTTCTTTTTTAAGTTGGCTGTATAGATAGCACTGCTTGTCCCCATTTCCCTGCCCTCTGTTCATTAATGTTCTTTCTTTCTTGGGCAAGATCTGGAGGCTGCCAAGTTATCTACCAACATACCCTACTTTGGCCCCTTTTCTATTGTTGAATCAGGAGATACAGCTCTGAAGAATTGTGTATCTCACTCTAGTCTTCCTCTTAAAATATCTGAGTTCTGACAGTACTTTCTGGCTTGTTTGCTCTCTAAGGATACATCATTTACTGGGTGCAGGTCTGAACTCCCCTGCATAGCTCTGTCTGGTTATCCCTCTACTTTGTTCCAACTCCATGGCTCCAAGTTAAAATTCCCTTCATCTATCCTGACTCCCCTTCCTTCCTCTTCTTCCTATTCCCTCTCTGTCTTGTCTCTTTTTCCTCCCCTTCCTCCCTTTCCCCTACAGTTCTCTGGAGGCTCCAGCCGTACCATGGAACCAGAGGATGCAGCAGCGCCTGCCATCTGGAGACAGAGCCTACGTAAGACGAGCAGTTTTGGGGTGTTGCAGGATGCCAAGCTGGATGATGGGGCAGCCAAGGAGGGCAGTGGCATCAAGCGCTCAGCATCAAGTCCCCGGCTTGATACAGAGGAAAAGGTAAGCCCAAATGGAGCCAACCTTGGCTGAGACAAGCCAAAACATGCTGAGCAAAAATCTGTTTGGGGCATCTGGATTCAGCATGATAATGTTGTATTGTCCCAAAAGATGGATCCCATAATGTTAGTAAAGGAGCAGTGTGGTGAGGCTCATGTAGCTCATATATGACGGTTTGTTTCATTTTAAATTTCCACCTCTGTCTAGCAGTTGGCTTTCTAGGTATCTCCTGTTGCAACATTAAAACAGGAAAAGACTGAAACAGGTTTAAATTAGAGCCCAATGAGATCAAAGGAAAAATCGACAAATAAGTGAAACAGCACAACAGGGCAGCAGCTGATAATAATAAAGTCATTTCAGATTAGATCTTGGGAAAGCAAGAGAAGATTTAACTTAATTCCTAAAATGACAGAGAAGGACAGAATGGAGGGGGCATTTATTGGGAGCATCTCTGACCCTTTCTGATCAGGTCATCAGCAGGCTTTTCATGCACATGCTGGTTCGTAAAGAGAAAGCAGTCGTTCAGGTATCCTGGCCTGAAGCTATTTCAGGTCTACATTTTTGCTTGCTGCATAGCCTTTGCAACAAGCCAACATTGCAGTCCAGCCATTTTCCAGTCACACTTAAGGGTGAAATTCAGCATCAAGCCCTTTCTTGTCCAGTTTCTTTTCTCAGCAAAATTTCAGCTACTGTGGCAGTACAGGTATTACTTAAAACAGAGCTTAAAACAGATGGAGAATGCCTGGAAAGATCAGGAATCAACCAGACACTGAGAGCTCAGGGAGCAAAGCGGTCTGAATAGTATTCTGTCACTCCCCATAGCTTGCAAAAAGCAGAATGTAAGTTTGTGAAGCAAGCTCATACAGAGTGGCCACAGCAAGCTACTGTATTGCAGATTGCATCTAAAGACTCCCAGGTTCTGTTCTTGGTATTTCTTCCTGTGGAAAAAGGATCCCTATAGCAGTACTGGGAATGGCCACTTATTTTATGAGAGCCTTTGCTAGTTAAGTGGAGATAATACTGATTTGATAAGGGTGGACATCTCTGACAACTCCAGTGGCCAATTTTTTGTCCCTGGGAGCTCCCAGATACAACACAGCCAAAAATGCCCTGCCAACCCACCTACCCCAAACCCTGGAATTGTCTGGAAGTTGAAAATCTAGCATTTTTTACATTAAATAGTGCAGATGGGCCCTGTGATCTGTTTAAAAGATGAATCACCATTCCTAGAGACTTTCTGGAGAGGGAATTGATCTTTTTTATTTGCCCAAAAGGGGCACTCCAGAGGAGTTGAGGTTGGCAGTAACATCCATATGGGGACTTACGTGGCTGCACAGACCAGTGGCCAGATTCAGCATAAGACAGCATCATAGGTTGATTTCTGCTTTATTTGGAGAAGTTGGCATAGTATTTGGATGGCCGTAATATATGGATGGGGAATATTTGACCTTCCATATGTTGCTACTTTGTCTGGGGGCCTGTGAGAGTTAGAGTCGACCAACGTGTGGAGAGCCACATGTTCCTCGCCCCCTGCCTTAGAGCAGTAATTTTAGAGCCTTTAGGACAGTATTATCAATTCCAAGGCGTAAGAAGGCCTGCCAGTAAGCTAAACCTCTTGATCTGAAAACTCTGGTTTTCTAGTCTCAGATGATAGGGGTGGACAATAATGATGGGAACAACCTCTGCACAAGTTCTAAGGTTTATTGGTTTTAGCTATAGAATCTCCCTTATGAAACCTGAATAGCTGTGAGCTGATGAAAGAGTTTCTCTGAGCAGGTGCCAGATGCTTCTGCTACACTACTGCTGCTACAACAGTCTGCCTTAGTGTCTCTGGAGCCTTAAGTGTATTGTAACGTAAAGAGGGGAATGTTGGGGCAGAACTAAGCAATGATTCCCAAACTTTGGTCCACCAGGTTTTTTGGACTTCAGCTCCTATTAGCCCCAGCCAGTTTGGCCAGCAGTCAGAAAGTCTGGAAGATGAAGTCCAAAACACCTAGAGGATCAGTGTTTGGGAACCACTGGGCTAGGTCATGCTAAAAATAGGAGCTGAGGAAGGAGAGCCTTAGCTGCCTCTCCTAAGATTTTTGTATAATAAACAGCTTTTTTGTCTATATTTCCTCTTCTTATCGCTATGTTTTCCATCTCAGCTCATTTGCCTTTCCAGACTGGAGCTGAACCTGTTGTATTGTGGGCTGTCTCACTCCATTGAGGGTGGTAGGCATGGGTTTCGCCTCAAGATTGTCTTTGCTTTGCCCTCTTTTCTTTCTCTTTCCCTCCTCCCTGTCCCCCAACCTCAATCTTGCCACTGTCCATATACCTGCAGCAAGACATCCAGGAGCTCTTACGGAAGTGGAACAAGAATCCCATTGGCCCAGGGTTAGCCAGTAGGA